TTATAATAAAAAATTGAATTAAAAATTACTCAAAAAATGAGGAATTTTAAATAGTTAATTTGATACGAATATCGATATATTTTTGTTATGCATAAAATATTGTATATTGATGCATATTACTTAAAATTCAAGATTACAAGTAATTATGCATAAGTACAACTTTTTAAAACTCGATGTTCGAATTCGTATAAATAACTGCGGATGAACATAATCAAATAGAGAATGAACATCTCATTTTAAAATATAAAAAATCTAAAATATAATTAGAATAATTATGGAGTTCCAACAAAATAAAAAATTATTATCTTTATAAAAAAATTATATTATTAAACAAAATATAAATTACTTCGTTATTGTACATAAATTAAATTATTAAAAATTTGAATTAAAAAATTACACAAAAACTGAGGAATTTCAAATAGTTAATTTGATACTAATATCGACATATTTTTGTCAAATTTTTATGATATCTTCAAACATATATTTTATTCAAAAATAAAAACAACATCGCTTTCTCAAAATACATAAAACCATATTATAACATCGACTGAGATAAAAAATAAAATGAAATATTAAAATAATGATGTATCTCGCTACATTGCGCGAGTACGCTTCTAGTATGTTATAAAACATTTGTCTCATTTTTATAAAAACAAATTATCATACATAAGGTACAATTAATTTGTGCATATTACTTAAAAATAAAAAATACCAGTTAATTATGCATACGTACATGTTTTTAAAGCATACCACTCCCATTAAAATCTTAATTCATTCCTACAATTTCTCTAATCCAACTAACGTCCCTATAATCTTTTTTTTTCAAAGAATAGATAGTCATTGTTGATTTCATTTATAATGGGTGGTTTTGACTCAATATTTCTTATAATCACCGTCAACTTTCCTTCTCCAAAACTCGGTTGCTTCTTTTTCATGGTAAGCTTTAACCTCATGGGTTTCGACCATTGTTTCTTATTGATTTATGGTGTATATCGATTTTTGCTTTTTTTCTTTTTGACTCATTACATATCGATTCTTTATTGTTTCTTTGTTTGGTTCTTTGTCGGTTTAGGTTTACTTCCTCGCAGCTCGATTGCTTCTCATCCCCACATCTTGATTGTTTCTCTTTCAAGGTAAGCTTCAACCTTATGGGTGATTGTATTGATTGAGCATTGCTTGATTGATTTATGATTTGTATTGATTTAAATAGAACTGTTTTTGATCTATTATGTTATGAAACACAAAGTTCACATAAATCATTTGATAAAAACTCTTAAAAACATTTTTATGCATAAAATACTGTTTGTTGATGCATATTACTTACAATTCAAGATCACAAGTAAATTGTGCGTAAATACAATTTATTAACGCTTCATTTTTGAATTTGTGTAACTAACTATAGATAAACATAATCAAATATGAGATAGACATCTCATTGTGAATATAAAAAATCTAAAATATAATTAGGATAATCATTAGTTATAACAGAATACTTAATTACTATCTTTATAAAAATTATATTATTAAATGATAAATAAATTACTTTGTTATTAAATCTAAATATTGAATTAAAGAAATTAAACAAAAATCCAGAACTTTAAATAGTAAATTTGATATTGATATTGATATATATTTTTTTTTCCAAATTTTTATAGTATATTTAAATTTATATTCATTCAAAAATAATCAATTTCTCAAAATCACTAAAAACTATATTATATCGACATGGATAAATAATAAAATGAAAATTTAAAATTGAGATATATCTCGGTATATTATGCAAACACCCTTCTAGTGTGTGTGTGTGTGTGTGTATATATATATATATAGGGGCTGGTTCAAATACTAACCCAATATTTTATGCAAACTATGTTAACCCATCTTAATCGTTCATTTTCTCATCTAACGGTTATTATTAAATGAGATTA